CTACCCGAGCTGAACGTAGAATAGTTTAACTCTATTTTTACTTTTAAAGAATACGAGAAGAACACTGGCTGGTGATATGCCAGTGTTAGACCTAGAACTGGGGATCACCAGTGTTGGACACTCTCTCTTCAATAAAGAAAGGGAAGGAGGAGTTCTTCTTTGTATTGGGTGGGTGTCAATTTCACCTTGTTGAAGTAAATAGGGAGGACGTAGTTCCTACCCGTTATCATCCATTACGTAAGTGAATATTTTCTTTGTATTTTTCCGAACTGAATTGTAAGTATATCCTAAAACTCCTTCATTTTGTTTTCAGACCACAAGAAGGCTACTTGGACTTTGGCTGTTAAGGAGTGAGCTGAAGCAATCAGAGCTTTTCCGAAGAAGTAGAGGTCCTGCAAATTCGTTATCTCTGACTCCAATCTCTTTTAGGTGGGGTTATTTCGATCTCAACCTCTGACCTTAATGGCAGCCGAGGCTTCCACTTCTATTCCAACTATTTCAAGTAAGGACCGACCTATCTTTAAGTGTTTTAGTCAACTCGTGGTATGGGGATGCCGATTACGTTGCGCATGCTTTAAGTGTATTTGAAAGTGTTGAACCTAGCAAATGGCATTCTACAAAAGCATTTGGTGTTGATTATTTTTCAGGGTGTATTTCGACCATATTTGGTAAATTTTAAATTATTTGTGATTTTTGGTTGAACCCGAGGTAATTCTGCGAAGCAGTGCTTGGATTCATTTCATGAAAGAGGTGGTGAATTTTTGGTTCGTTGGAGAAGTTAGTTTGATTCATGTTAAAGAGCTCGGTTCATTCTTGCAGTTTGATTTTTTTTTTTCAGGTGGAGTAAATTTTGGAGCTTCATTCGTTGCAGTGAAAATTGTTGGATTTGTAACCCAAATTCGATTAGATTTTTTTGGAAAATATTGTTTTCTTTATATCACGCATTTTTATTGAAAAAAATATTATTTTCTTTATTCCACGCATTTTTTATACTATTTCCATCTTTAAGAATATTGTTAGGGTTTTGATATGTCCCCCTATATATTAGCAATTCATTGCACATGGAAATTGCTGCCAGAATTTTTGTCTATTTCTTTTCTTTTTTTGCCATTTTCCAATAGAAAATCGTTAAGTGTTGTCTGTAAAACTTCTGGCAGCACTTTTTCCGTACACATAGCATAACCATCTATATATAGTTGAGTCTTCTTTACAAGCTATTTATTACTGAAAGTTAGAATTATATAGGAACATAATATTGTTGTAATTTTATTTCTTCATGATAGTTGAATAAAATTTTCAATTCATTTATCAAATTAAATTCTTGTTTCTTTGTGTACATCTTGTTGTTTGCGATCAATACTTCATATCATATCATTCCTTCCCAACATCTTTTACAGATTGATGAAGTAATGTAAATTAAGTTAAATATGTCAAAAAATTTATTCATCACTTAAACGATTATGCTTATGTAAGGTGGGTTAATGACAAAAAATAAAATAAAAAGAGGGAGAAATTTTTGTTGGGGTGATTGTTAATAAATAAATTTATAAGTCGTATATAAATATAACGCAAACGAAAATTATTTATTTATGAGCACACTTTTTAAGCTTAGCCAAATCCTGTAAACAGACAACAACAAAAAATAAAAAAATATATATATAGTCATCTACCTTCTTGACCTCATCTCTAATCATTTTCTTCTTATCAATAGCTCGAAAGTGAGTGAAACTACTCTCTCACACACACACACACACACACACACACAGAGTTCGCAACCCCAGTTGCTGAAAATGAGTTGGTGGTGGGCCGGAGCTATTGGCGCTGCAAAGGTAAGTTTATTCATTTCATATATATTCAGCATCAGTATACGGATTGTATGTGTATCTATTTATGTGTGTGGATATGGAGTAGTTTCTCGCGGTTAAAACTCTTGTATGATTTGATCTTGAAACAGAAAAAATTCGAAGAAGATGAGGCACCGATCAAACACCAAAGCGTGGCCCTAGTAATCGGTGTCACCGGCATCGTGGGCAACAGTCTGGCCGAAATTCTCCCGCTCGCCGACACCCCCGGCGGCCCCTGGAAGGTCTACGGCGTCGCCCGCCGCCCCCAGCCGTCTTGGAGTGATGACAATCCAATTCAATACATCCGATGCGACATCTCAGATCATGAGGATGCTCAAGCAAAGCTTTCACCGCTAACGGATATCACACACATCTTCTATGTCACATGGACCAATAGATCCACGGAGGCTGAAAATTGCGAAGCCAATGGCAAAATGTTTCAGAATGTGCTTGATGCAGTTATCCCCAACTGTCCTAATTTGAAGCACATTTGTTTGCAAACAGGAGGGAAGCATTACGTTGGTCCATTTGAATCCTTTGGAAAGATAAAACCTCATGATCCTCCTTTCCACGAGGACTTGCCCCGTTTGGATTGCCCAAATTTTTACTATACTCTTGAGGATATCCTGTTCGCGGAGGTGGAAAAGAAGGAGGGATTGACGTGGTCGGTTCATAGGCCAGGGGTTATATTTGGATTTTCTCCTTTTAGCATGATGAACTTAGTTGGTACGCTATGTGTTTATGCTGCTATATGTAAGCACGAGGGTGTGCCATTGAGGTTTACAGGGAGTAAGGTTGCGTGGGATGGATATTCCGATTGTTCTGATGCAGATTTGATTGCTGAGCATCAGATATGGGCGGCAGTGGATCCCTATGCTAGGAATGAGGCGTTCAATATCAGCAATGGGGATGTATTCAAGTGGAAACATTTCTGGAGGGTGTTGGCTGAGCAATTCGGTGTGGAATATGGAGAGTTTGAGGAGGGGCAGAATCTGACATTGCAGGAGATGATGAAGGATAAAGGGAAGGTTTGGGATGAAATTGTGCAGGAGAATGGATTAACACCTACTAAATTGGAGGATGTTGGCGTTTGGTGGTTTGCCGATCTTATTCTTGGCATACCGGAAAGTGTCTTGAATACCATGAACAAGAGCAAGGAGCACGGTTTTCTGGGATTCAGGAATTCTAAGAATTCATTCATTTCATGGATTGACAAGGTGAAAGCTTACAAGATCGTCCCTTAACTTGATCTTCGTCTATGCTTTCTTGTTGTATTTGTTCGCTTCCTCAGTTTGATATTTGTGTTTTCTTGGTGTATGACAGTCTGTTTAATGTAGTTATTAATTATGAAATTTGTTAAGAATAAAAAAGGAATTGTGATGGATGGAAGCTTTTGTATAATGGAACATGTAAAATATGGTCTCTGATATAGGCTTGTCAATTTTATACTGGTACTGCGAATGTTGTTTGATCTTTGCTTGAATAATATTTAGTACAGTAATCAAAGTGGGAAGGACTATTTAGGTGATTCAAGCATGTTTGCATAGTTTTAAAGAGGTTCACAGTCATAGACTTGAACTCTAAATCTCGGTAGAATATGTTAAAAAAGGGATGGTTGGCAAAAACTAACATGGTATCAGAAGAAGGTTTAGTTTGTTCTTTGTTGTAGAAGAGGAAGATGCAACGTATTTTCAAGTATGAACTCGTTATTCTGAACCGAACAGATGCAATGTGCTTTCTGATTTTGTCATAACCATTCCATTTACTAATCCTAGATGCTTTGAGATTAAACTACTTACTAAAGTTAAGGCACTGTGCTCGGCATATCCAACATGAGTAAAACTTTTCCAATTATATTCTAAAACTAGAGATTCGAAGTTACTCTGTTTGTTGGGTTTGAATCCTTTTTTGCCACATGCAATGATTTGACAAATCTTTACGCTAGATGTCAACCTACGGCAAAATCCATGATCATCTTCTAAAGAACGAATAAGTAGAAACATTAATAGACAAATAAGTATTTAGTGAAAGTTCATTTGATCTTACATAAATGCATACAAGTCCAACAAACAGTAACTTGTAACATATACAGATTCAGACAAATTCATTCGACAAAGATTTGATGAATTGAGCAACCTATAAAAGTGAGAAGCAACAAGCTCCTTACCTACGCAGGAAGCAGAACATGCAGAAACAAGCAGACGAAAAAAAGTCGTTGGGCATATATAATGCCAAAAAAACAGGGGTACCAAGTTTGAACGTTGCTTTTTACATAGATCTACAGTTGAGAATAGCAACACAGAGCTAGACCTACGTAATTAAACAGGTGTAAGGAGTCTAATTGCGTTCCACACCACGAAATTAAGTTATAACTCGTGGACTTATAATCAATGGGGGAACGCTCATCTTACAAGACATTTAAAAGTGAGATGGGACTCTCGATGCAGATGGGACGAGCTGCGGAGAGGATTGCTTTGAGTAGAACATTGATACCATGAAGTAATGAAGCGGAAGTATGGATACTGTGGATATGAATTCTTGGAGGAGAGGCGGATTGTAATGACACTAATAGAGTCTTGCTTGCATTGCTACGTTAAGTCTTAGCTTGTGGATCTATAATCACTCGGACGCTAGACCTTACGGGCCGGAATTTAAGAGTAAGTTATATTTTAATGCCGTTGTAACAGTAAGTATATGCACGTACAAGCATCCAAAAACCATCAATTCGACTGATGAAATGCCAAGAACAAAAATTCAAGCGTGAACAGCAACACTGAAACTCAAATGGTAAGTAGAAGTAATTCTTGAAATCAATGCATACAAACTAATTACAACTCTCACCAAATTTTCTCTAGTTACCTCAGTTACTGCAGGCAAAATCTCGTCCTTCAAAGGTGTCAAAGCTTGGAAAGTAAAAATGCAAGTTCCTCATCAGAAACCTTCACATCAATGCATACTCCAGTCGAGGCCGACAGTCTTGCAGCTAGTTGATGCTTACACTGAAAGGTCACACATAAACATACAAGCTACATAATAAGCGTCAAAAGAAGTCACTCAAATTATGGAAAATAATAGAAGCAGCAAGCAAATCTTACACAAAGCTGTTCCCCTCTGTTCACAATGTCATAGAAGAATGAATAACATGAACAATAGTGTTCAGGGAAGCATAAATATTCCTCCTTCCTCCGTGATTCTCCCACAACCTGGAATATTAACATTTTTGCATTTAAAGAAAGGAGGAAATATGATCCAGCATTGATGACAATTATTCTAATCATCCCTGTCTATTTTTCATACTCAGTCTCAACATTGAGTAAAGGGGATGGTTGCTCTACGCTGATAGCCAAAGTAAATTTTGGGAAATCCTAATTGCCAGAAAATAATTCACTTGGCCAATTCCAGCTCTGAATTAAAACAATGGCACGATTTTAAAGCTCGAAAAATCATCTCAAATAACTTCAGAAACTGTAGGGAAAATAATGAGCAAATTGACCGAGCCCAATCCCACACCACCAAGCTCAAGTGAGATTCCAACCCAAAACCAATTGGCAATGGGTGGAGTAGCCCACTTGGATTATATGGTGGATTTCTTTTCTTCTCCTAACCGATGTGGGACTTCTTGTTTGCTCCCAACAATCTTTCCCTCAAACGAAGGACCACATCATCGTAGCCTCCCCTCAAACGATAATTCAATCGCCCTCGACCAAATGGGACCCGCCGCCTGACCACCAATGTCAGGAAG